CGAAGCTGAGGTCTCGCCAGCCCTGCCGGGCCCGGCGCGGCCTCCGCGCGCCTTGATGCGCGGGTTCGGCGCCAGAAACTGTAGCAAGCGCGAGGACAAGATGCCGGGGCACAAGGTGCCGCGGCGTCGGATTCCCCGAGGCAAACGCGGCAGTCGCGAGCATCTGCGCCTTGCGCCGCGCTGTCGAAGTTACCGCGAGCACGGAGGCAGAGCTGCAAGCTTCGTTTCGCGCGCTGCAGCGCGACCGCGCGATCTTGAGAAACGCTAGAACGAATCGCAGATGGATGAGCGATGGCGGCGCAACTGCGAGCGACATGCAGTTCCCCGCGCGCCCCCCCCCCCCCCCCCCCGCATACATCGAACGAGATCTGCGAGGAGCTGTTCCCGAGTTGGCCACCTAACGAGACATCGCGAACCGTCTGGCAAAATATCACCGCGCGCGAATTCCCCCGTCGCCACGGACGGCGCGGCCAGGCCGCGCTGGCGACGGCGGGGGGCCAGCGCAAAAAAAAACTGCGCGCAACTGCCTGGCATCGATCGCCTGGGCATCTTCTCCACGATCAAACAGAACTCGATGAAGTCGAAACTCTGCTTCTGCTGGCAGAATCTTCTCTTGGCCCGATAGCGCCAAGAAGAACGATATCCCGCTGCGTCTGGACTGCTCAAAGATGTCTTTCACGACGCCGCCCTCCTCCAATGCCCACCCGCCCACCGCCGCTGCACCTATCATGGCTGCCCCGAACTGCCCATGGGCCTCTCTGGGCCTCGACATCATCCGATGCCCTCGCAATCGCTGAACTCTGAGCTTTCGGAATAGAGGCACAGCCCCAAACTTGCGTAGTAAGCCGTTGTGAGACAGAGCGTGCGCTCTCCCTCCTTCATCCCATTTGCAAGCCCCCATCGAACATTGCCCTAGTTGTGGCCGTGACGAACCCCTCGAGCCCGGTGAGATCACGAGGACACAGGGGGGCTGCGCCTTTAGCCCGCGCCTTCATTCCAGAAAAAGCCGCGCTGACAAGTAATCCCTGAACTCGATCCACCTTCCGCCTCCAATCTGCTCTGAACTACCAGAGCTTGCCCGCGGGATAAAAAAGCTTGCTCGCAGTGCGCGCTGCATCCTCGGCAGTTCGGACGCGGGCGAACGCGCGGCGGCGAAGTGCCGCCGAGACATCTGGCGCGATGTTTTTTCGGCGACCGCCGCGAGCGAATGCCCTCGATGGAGCTGTCGAGCGAGCTGGTAGGTGCTGGGGCCAGCGAGAATAAACATATTGCCCAGTTTGCTGACATTCTGAGTTGCCCCCACCGCCCATGCCCTCGTCGATCGCGGCATTTCTGCTGCTGATCATGCTGCAAAAGGTCCTGGCCCCTCGACCTCACCCGGTTAAAAAGCCATGTCGGCGATGCCATCCGCAAACCCAGTCAGAACAATCTGTCTGATGTCTACCCCCTTCTCGTCCCGCGGCCATCGGGCCTCGGCGGCCGCGCGCCAGCCTGCTCCGCAACGCAGGTCGGCAACGCGCTGCAGGATGGGGCTTGAAAAATGCGCGGCGCAAAATTGCGCGTAGCTCCTGCATCTCCTGGAAATGCTCCACTGCCTGACCGCGGACAAAAGCACACCGCCACGTCCGCGATTTGGACCCCCCTCTCGCGATGCTGTCTTCGATGAACTCTAGGTCCTCGTAGCAATACAACGAATCGATAATCGCAAGAATCGCGCTGTGCTTAGTCGAGACGAATGCATCCGTCGCACCGCAGCACCTCATCCAGTGAGAAGCCCCACTTTCCTGCATGCGATAGCTACCTATGATCTGGACTGCAGTGGCGGTTTCCTTCCTTCGAGCTGTTTGTCCCCCGTGTACCCAATCAACTGGTTGCCAAGCATAAGGCTTGTTTGTTTACATGATTTTCCGTTGACCATTCCAACGTGAAACGCGCGGCCCAGGGCGCAATTTTGGTCGGCGGGTCGGGAGCGGGCCCCTTCCGGTTAAGAGCTAGGCGGGGCGCGCGAAGCCCTAATTGGGGAGACAGGGCGCGGGCGGGCGGGGCGTCAGGCGGCCGGAGGGTGCAGAGTACAGGCGGTGCCGAAGATCTTGCACAGGAACAGGTACGCCATGGACAGGAGCCGGTGGCGAAGTCCCGGAGGGAGAGTGAATTGGCGTTGCCGTCAACGGCGCGCTAGGAACAGCGGCCCAGGGCACACGCGACCATGATGATCCTCTCGCCATCGCACTCCAGCTGAGCATTCCAAGTGAGCCGGGATGCCTGGGCAGCGCGCCAGGCGACGGGCGTGCGCCTCCAACGCCGATGCGTCCACGAGAACTTCTCGAGTACGTCTGCGGACTCAGTTGTTCTAGCTCAACATATCCTTGCTTAAGTCCAGCGCGTGCTCTGGGCCGCCTGGAGTTGGTCCACGCAAGATGAAACAGAAAGCGCCGTGTCTCAGGAGAGTACACACATTGTGGACACGTGCGCCAAAAACAAAGACGCCACACGGTTGATGACATGCTGTAACACCAGTCATGACCATTCCAAGGCGTCCATATCATCACGTAAGAGGTGTCTCTGGTCATCAATCTCCTGCCGCACGTCAGCTAAGAGTGGAAGCGGTGACGCTGCCCCTTCCCTGCCCCGCTGGAAATTGCATGCGACTGCACCAAGCAACAGCAGCCGCCTTCGAGGGCCGCGTCCTTTAGCTACCAGGGGTCTTTGTAGTTGCTGTATTAGGGGGAACTTGTCAATATCGCGCCCTTCCTGGACATCGTCCCAGTAACTCCGAGCCGACTCCCGCAACTGGCGGCTCAAGCGCTTGATGACCATAGTTTGTTGATTTCCCCTCAAAAACGTCGCTGGCACGACACCGTTGCTCTCGACGCTGGCGTCGCTGCTGGGGTAGGTTGCCCAGCAGGTCTGCTTGACCCTTGCTCTCCAGACTCGCGGGGGAATTCTCAGTAAACACTTCGACCGCAGCCCCGTTCACTACCTTGATTACCATCCTATGCATCTCGCCCACCTTCCCTTACTCCTGATATTTTGCGTAGTCCTCCTCCACCTCCTCTGCCTTACGGTTCAGTACTTGAAACGTGTATTGCCTGGGACGTCCTACGTGCACACGTTTATATGGTGCTTCCCGATTTGGGCGAGGACCCAGTGCAGGTAGCGGCAAAACTGTTTTGAAACATGGCATCGAGCACGACGGGCCCATGACCCGTGGGTTCCATCCCCTGACAAAGTTGACGCCTCCGAACTGACCGCGGATGTGCACTGCACGGCGAGATGGCAGGACCGGGCGTCCTGTGACACGGAATGTGTAATCGATGTGACCCGCACCAGTTTCTCTCACGAGCGTAGCTGGGTTGTGGAAGCATGTGTTATGAACAATAAAACCCCAAGCTGCTAATACACTTCCTATTGATGCTGAAGCTGATGCTGGGGTCGTCCTTCTTGCGAAATGCATGGCCGCCACATCATCCTGAGGGGTTTGCGGATACCCTCCGCTATCGCCTGCCAATATGACTGAAACTGCCTGCTTCGAATGAAAATACTCTAGCGCCGGCTGCAACCATTATGTAAGAGCCGAGGCTGAATTGTCGTGGTTGGCCTTCAGTGTTTTCATAAAGGCCCGAGGGGCGAAGTAGAGACCGATGAAAGCACAGAACTGCTCCTTCTGCTGAATGGCCAGTACGATAGCTGGTCCCCAAAGCTCTTTGGGTACTGGCATGTTCCGTTCGATACTGTGTTTGAGGAACCTTCTGCTAGTTGGGAGTGCGGTTAGGCCACACGCCGGAACGACGAGTCGACCTCGACGAAACCCGACAAGTGAACATCGAAAACGATCGACCACGAGAGAATCTCCTAGCTGGTCTCACCACTACCCCTCTGCTGAGTGCCACAACGTCTGATCGCGTCGTGACTAGGATACTCACCAACGGTATCTGCAAGCTGAGACAAGCTTGACAATGCGCAGGGGTTGAAACTAGCAGCTCGTAGTAGCCCAGGGGACATCAGAGATGGTCCTGCGGGCGCGCGGCCGCCATGGCTGCCGAGGGCGCGAAAGGCCGTGGAGCGTGCGCTCCTCATCCTTCAGAGCGTGGGATCGGTTTCCCCAATGGGTTGTGGAAACCTCATGGAGGAGAGGAGGAGGAGGAGGAGGAGGAGGAGGAGGAGGAGGAGGAGGAGGAGGAGGAGGAGGAGGAGGAGGAGGGGGGGAGGAGGAGAAGGAGGAGGAGGAGGGGAAGAGACGGCGACGACGAAATAGGAGCAGCACGCTATAGACAATACGCTATGAAAGCAAGATTGTCGAGGAACGCCCGCGCCAAATCTGACACTCGACCACTCCCACCCATCAATTCACAGTGCGTCGAGATTGCTTGTACCCGCTGGCAGGGGTGTCCTAGAATCAGGACCCTGGCTCCCTAAGGTGATACCATCGTGTGATGCGCCCAGAGGAGGAGGAGGACGAGGAGGAGGAGGAGGAGGAGAAGGAGGAGGAGGAGGACGAGGAGGAGGACGAGCAGCAGGAGCAGGAGGACGAGGACGAGGACGAGGAGGAGGATGACGAGGAGGAGGACGACGAGGAGGAGGAGGAGCAGCAGGAGGAGAGAGGAAGATGAGGAGTTACCTGTGTTGGTAAAACATGGGTACGGATAAAGGGGGGGAACGAGAAGGACGAGGAGGTAGAGGGGGAGGGCGGAGGCGAGGGCACGAAGGGGGAGCCCAGACCCTCGACGTCATGTTTTTGGGGTTTTTGTCACAACGTGGAACCCCATCGGAGGCCTCGAGCATTCCCCGGGGCCAGCTTTTCATCCCGGGTCGGTTCTCGACGGTCCCGGGGCCCAGCGAGGGCCCCGACGTAAGGGGCAGAACGTAATAGATCATGGAAAACAGCTCCAGACGCTATTCCTGGCATCAGTTATATATTCTCTGTACAGAAGAAGCGAAAGGGTTTGGGAGGGGAGAGCAGGGCGGCGGCGGCGGCGGCGACGACGACGACGAGAAGGGGCCTGCGGAGGCGCCTCTGGTTCCTGGGCGGCCGTCAGGCGGGCCTCCGCGGGGTCGAAGGCGTAAAAGTGGAACGCGCAGTACCTGGGAGGCATAGGCCTGCCAGCTCCTCCTCCTCCTCCTCCTTTTCCTCCTCCTCCTCCTTTTCCTCCTCCTCATCCTCCTCCTCTTCCTCCTGCTCCTCCTCCTCCTTTTCCTCCTCCTCCTCCTCTTCTCCCTGCTCTTCCTCCTCCTCTTTTCCTGCTGCTGCTCCTGCACCCTTCCTTCCTGCTGTTGCTCCTGCAGCTCCTCATCCTCTTCGTGCCCCATCCCTCTTCCTCGTAAATATCTTATCACCTGAGACTTCTTCAACAGCTGTGATCCTGAGACTTGAAACTTGCAATGGTTTCACGGCTGGGAGGCGGCTCGTGTTCGAAATTTGGCTCTCGCCTTTGCGCCGCGTATTAAACCTTCGCAGCACCTTCATGGACTGAGGGTGGGCCAGACTTCGAATGTGGCTCTCGCCTGAAAGACGCGCCAAGTCGTCTTTCAAGTTTGCAGCAGCTTCAAGGATGGAGGCGACTTCTTTTCAAGATGTTGCTCTCACCCTAGCGCCGCGCACGTCCGCCGTAAAACATTCAAGCAGCTTCAAGGATGGAAAACGGCTCATTTTCAAAATGTTGCCCTCGCCTTGGATCCGCGCACGCTCGTCTTTTAAAATGCGAAAGTTCGAAAGGATGGAGGGCGGGTCGTTCCCATAATGTTGTGCAGCAGGCGCGCTGATTCGCGGTACTGAAGTCCCCAGAATGGCGTTCTGACGCGATTGGGGATTCTCAGACGGCTGTCTTCTAATATGGGTCTTCCCGCAACGAAAATGAATTGCTGCAGGGATCTGAGCAGAGGGAAATTGAAGGGAGGGCTTACTGCAACATCGTTGATGCGTCTTGGACTTACGATGGTCATTTTTGTTCCTCCTCCTCGTCCTCCTGCTCGTCCTCCTCCTCGTTCTGCTGCTGCTCCTCCTCCTCATCCTCCTCCCTCGTCCTCTTTATCCCCCTCATCCCTCGAACCATGAGAATCGATCGAGGACTGAGGACTCTGACGCCGGGGGGCTCCGAAGGGCTCCAGGGACCGTCGAGACTTGCGGACGTGTCTGCTCCCTGCCAGGGCCTTCAAAGGTCCAGGCCTCCATATGGGCCTCCACAAGCTCTTCTGGCCAAGGAGCTCCCCGAGGGACGCCTGCAGAAGCCCAGTCGCGAGGGTGGATCAGTGTGGCGCCAGCCTGGAACGGAACTGACGCCGACGCAGACATTACACATCCGCCAGCGAGCTACTGCTCGACGTGCACGCCGGAAACGACCCCCTGGGAGCACTGTCTCCAGGATAAAAAACTGTCATCTCTGAGGGTTACGATTATCTTGCTCCCATCGTACTTAAGGACTACATCCCAGAACAAAATTCAGAGCACCCAAAGAAGTATCGAAATAGTTTCGAACGAGGACCGCCTCCCAGGGCCCGACACGTGAAAACCCTTAAGTCTCGGTGCTTTCTTGGTGCTCGAAATTCTGTCTGGTGATCAAGGCTGAAGTCGGTTGGAGCATCATAAGGGCTCGCGAACCTCTGCGCCATCGCCGATGCATCGATAATGCATCGGCGATGCATCGGCGATGCACCGGCGATGCATCGGCGATGTCGACGTGGAGCAAATCGGGCTCCGCATCGCGCCGCATCGGCGATGCATCGGCGATGCGGCGTGATCCTCCGACCCCACCTGGGAGGCCTAGAATATCTCGGGGGGGGTACTCGACCCTTCGCGCCATCCTGCTCCGGCTCGCCAGCTTCGCCAGCTGCCACATGCCCTCCCGGTGCGTGACCATGACCACCGTCTCGCCGCCGGCGTGCCTCGGGGCAGGGCGAGCTGAGACACAACGGCAGGCCAACACCAGTCCCCGGGCCCCTCCTGGGGCTAGGTCGGGCGTGTCCTCCTACAGGCGGAGTTTGGACGAAAGATAGAACAACTAAACAACGAATCAAGGAATGCCCAAAAATATGTACAGGAACGTCACCAGACGATTCCAATTGTTTGTTTTGAGTATTCGTCCTGTAGAGGGACAGGCCCGACTTCATCCCAGGGCCCGAAAGCCCCACCTTTCCGAGCCGCGTCCGCCCGTGACGACGAGGGGGCCCCCCGAGGACCCACTACCGCTGCCTCAACCGGAGGCCTCCTAGGTGGGGTCGGAGCAGATCGGGTTCGGAGCATCGCGCCGCATCGGCGATGCATCGGCGATGCACTGACGATGCACCAGCGACGTCCGCGGTGCATCGGCGCCGCCGGCGTGGAAGACATCGGCTCCGCATCGAGCCGCATCGCCGATGCATCGGCGATGCGGCGCGAACCTCCGACTCCATCAGCTCGGACCCCATCTGGGAGGCCTAGATCCCAGACCCCCGACGTCGTGATTTTTTCATGACGGGACCCATGCTTCATCCCGAGTTTTTGTTGACGGTTCCCAGGGCCGTTAAAGGCCCGCAGAGGCTGACAATAGGGAAAAACCTTCCGTCGCGATTTCTTCACGACTCGAGGGGGTCGGGATCAGCTCGCCCTCCTCGGAGAGCCTCGCCGCGAGCTCGGCCACCGCCTCGGCGAAGCCGCGCCCCTGCCGCTGCCGCTGGTCCACCTGCTCGGGGTCCCCGATCGGCGGCCAGCCCGAGAGGCGGGCGCCTCGCAGGACGCCCTCGGGCGGGTGGGCACTCGGGAAGGCCAGGACGCCCTGGCTCCGGGCCGGGGCAGCGCCAGGGGAGGGGGGTCACCAGGAAACGCCAGCAACCCTCGAGGAGCTCTGAGATCCTGGCGTTGCCATTCTTTCCCAACGGGCGTTTTCGCTCGGGTCCTTACAGATCGGTCCGGCTCGGAAAGTGGCGCAGAAAGATCAGCTCCAGGATGCTCTGGTTGCGATTCATGCGATGCTGCCAGGTTCCTCAGAACGTCGGATCACAGGGAGGTGGGCCCCCAGAAAAACTCCAGAGCCTTCCAAAACGACCCCCAGACGACCGACAGCCTCCTCGAGCTTCGATCCTGGAGTCCTCGATCCCCCGATCCTCGAGCGACCCTCGAGCCCCCGAGCCTAAGCAACCCTTGAGCCCTCGATCCTGGACTCTCCAGGTGGACGTCCTCCAAGATGCCCGCGCACCTGAGGCGCTTTCCTTCTGTCCAGGAGGAGCCGGCGAACCCCCGTGGTGACCCCCCTTGGCACAGCCCCAGGTCTGGGCGGCGGCGCAGCAGTTGAGCGCGTAGGCCGGGGTGATGCTACCGACCCTCAGCGGGCCTCGGTGGCGCACACGGGGGGGGCAAAAAGGAACTCCTGGGAGGCCTCCGTAAGGACGATGCCAGGCTGCTGCCAAGCCCGATTGATGGATTGAGGGGCCACGAAGCCAGATCAGGCCAGATTAAGCCCAGGATGAAGCCAGACTGCCCTGGATGATGCCGGAGTTGACCAGCTTTTGACCACGGGAATGCCAGCGCCGATGCTGAATTTCACCTGTCAGGAGTTGCACCCCGAGGGGAGGGAGGGGGCGGCTTTTCTGAGAGGGCGGGCGGCCTTATCATAACGGCTCGGGGGCTTCCAAGAGAGAGACGGCCTCCTTGAGCCCAGAGACCCAGGCGTCCTGGTTTCTTCATCACATGGTCCCCCGAGGCTCTCGACCCATTCCCAGGGGGCCCGCTTTTCATCCTGAGTCGTTTCTTGACCGCCCAGGGGCCCGGCGAAGGCCCCCAGAGCTGACAGATGCCCCACACCGTCCGTCGCGATGTCGTTCACGACGCGAGGGGGCGCCTGGGAGGGCAGGGCGGCTTGCGAGGGGCGACCTGCCCTTGCGGAAGGTCGCCAGTCACTCTCGCGCCCTCCCGCCCCTCGGTGCCACGCCAAGGATGGCCTGCGAGCGCGGCGGCGGTGGAGAGCGTCCGCGACGTAGGGCTGCTGTACACAGTGACCGCGGCCCCCGGCGCTATCAGCGACCGCAGCTGCTGCCCGACCGAGCCCGCATGCGCCCAGCCCCTCTCGGTGAGGGGAGGGTCGTTCCGGGTCGCCTCTTTGGGCGCCGCACATGTTTACATGCGCGCGTGTGTATATATACATGTATATATATATATATATATATATATTGATACATATATATATGAAGATATCCACACACACACGCAAAGGTACACCACGCGAAATGGTTAAGAAATCATGGGTTAAGAAATTCATGGTCTCGCGCCGGCAGGTTTCTTAATTATCATTAAGAAATGTCGAGGGTCTGGCCCGGGGGCTCGGTATGTGCATGAATGTGGGCCCGAGCCCAACCCAAGTGGGGCCCGAGCCGGATCCAAGTGGGGCCCAAGTGGAGCCCAAGCCCAACCCAAGTGGGGCCCGAGCCGAATCCAAGTGGGGCCCAAGTGGGGCCCGAGCCGAATCCAAGTGGGGCCCAAGTGGGGCCCGAGCCCAGCCCAAGTGGGGCCTGAGCCGAATCCAAGTGGGGCCCAAGTGGGGCCCGAGCCGGATCCAAGTGGGGCCCAAGTGGGGCCCGAGCCCAACCCAGGTGGGGCCCGAGCCGAATCCAAGTGGAGCCCGAGCCCAACCCAAGTGAGGCACGAGCCGAATCCAAGTGGGGCCCAAGTGGGGCCCGAGCCCCCTCCAAGTGGGGCTCGAGCCGAATCCAAGTTGGGCCCGAGCCCAACACGAGTGGGGCCCGAGCCGAATCCAAGTGGGGCCCAAGTGGGGTCCGAACCCAACCCAAGTGGGGCCCGAGCCAAATCCAAGTGGAGCCCAAGCGGGGCCCGAGCCCAATCCAAGTGGGGCCCGAGCCGAATCCAAGTGGGGCCCAGGTGGGGCCCGAGCCCAACCCAAGTGGGGCCCAAGCCGAATCCAAGTGGGGCCCAAGTGGGGCCCGAGCCGAATCCAAGTGGGGCCCAAGTGGGGCCCGAGCCGGATCCAAGTGGGGCCCGAGGCGGATCCAAGTGGGGCCCAAGTGGGGCCCGAGCCGAATCCAAGTGGGGCCCAAGTGGGGCCCGAGCCCAACCCAAGTGGGGCCCAAGCCAAATCCAAGTGGGGCCCAAGTGGGGCCCGAGCCGAATCCAAGTGGGGCCCAAGTGGGGCCCGAGCCCCCTCCAAGTGGGGCCCGAGCCGAATCCAAGTGGGGCCCGAGCCGAATCCAAGTGGGGCCCGAGCCCCCTCCAAGTGGGGCCCGAGCCGAATCCAAGTGGGGCCCAAGTGGGGCCCTAGCCGGTTCCAAGTGGGGCCCAAGTGGGGCCCGAGCCCCCTCCAAGCCCAAGCCGAATCCAAGTGGGGCCCAAGTGGGCCCGAGCCGATCCAGTCCCCAAGTGGGGCCCGAAGCCGAATGGGGCCCAAGTGGGCCCGAGCCCAACCCAAGTGGGGCCCGAGCCGAATCCAAGTGGGGCCCAAGTGGGGCCCGAGCCGCCAGGTGGGGCCCAAGGTGGGGCCCCCGAATCCCCGCCGCGCCCAAGTGGGGCCTGAGCCGAATCCAAGTGGGGCCCAAGCGGGCCCGAGCCCTCCCAGTGGGGCCCGAGCCGAATCCAAGTGGGGCCCAAGTGGGGCCCGAGCCGAATCCAAGTGGGGCCCAAGTGGGGCCCGAGCCCCTCCAAGTGGGGCCCGAGCCGAATCCAAGTGGGGCCCAAGTGGGGCCCGAGCCGAATCCAAGTGGGGCCCAAGTGGGGCCCGAGCCCCCTCCAAGTGGGGCCCGAGCCGAATCCAAGTGGGGCCCAAGTGGGGCCCGAGCCGAATCCAAGTGGGGCCCAAGTGGGGCCCGAGCCCCCTCCAAGTGGGGCCCGAGCCGAATCCAAGTGGGGCCCAAGTGGGGCCCGAGCCGAATCCAAGTGGGGCCCAAGTGGGGCCCGAGCCCCCTCCAAGTGGGGCCCGAGCCGAATCCAAGTGGGGCCCAAGTGGGGCCCGAGCCCAAGTGGGGCCCGAGCCGAATCCAAGTGGGGCCAAGTGGGGCCCGAGCCGAATCCAAGTGGGGCCCAAGTGGGGCCCGAGCCCCCTCCAAGTGGGGCCCGAGCCGAATCCAAGTGGGGCCCAAGTGGGGCCCGAGCCGAATCCAAGTGGGGCCCAAGTGGGGCCCGAGCCCCCTCCAAGTGGGGCCCGAGCCGAATCCAAGTGGGGCCCAAGTGGGGCCCGAGCCGAATCCAAGGGGGGCCCAAGTTGGGCCCGAGTCCAACCCAAGTGGGGCCCGAGCCGAATCCAAGTGGGGCCCAAGTGGGCGCCCACACGACCCCAAGAAAGCATCAGGCTTAAGAAATTTCCCCAGGGTCTGGCCAGCGCCGGTGTTTTCTTCAGCCGTGTGTCTAGGACAAGAAATTTCGAGACTCTGGCTGCAAAACTGTGTTTTCTTAAACATCGAGCGTGGTTATGCGGCCCTTCGCCCGAAGCATGGTGCACAGAGAGTGCTGAGCGTCTTACGCTCACGGTCCCGCCTCGAACTGTCGCCGCGTGGGTGACGCACGTGTGTAGAAATATGTGCATACATATATATATACACAAACATACACACAGCGGTATGTGGCCCGTCGCCCGAAACATGGGGTACACATTGCTCTGAACGTCTTACGCTCGCGGACCTGCCCCGAATAGCCGCCGCTTGGGAGCCGCCCAGATCTACATGTGCATATCGTATCCGCATACGCACAAGACGTTTGCGGGCCGCCGCCCGAAGCATGATGTACGGAGTGGACTGGACGCCTGGCGCTCGCGGGCCGAACCCGAAACAGGTCCCCCCTGTGCCGTGCGCGGTAGCGGCTGCGAACATGGTCTCACGGCCAGCTTCCCGTCCACTGTCCCCTGCCATGAGCCCGAGGGGGGCCCGAGGACAGCGGGCCCTGGACTCGGGGATGGACAGACCCCCCTTTAGTGAAACGTGGTTTAGAAAAAACGACCTGAGGCCCAAACCTGGCGGGCGCAAGACTGGAAAATAACGGCCGCGGCGCCCTCTCGAGAACCAAAAACGGACCATTCACTAATCGACGTGTCACTGTTGGGGGTTCCGTCCACCCCCGATGGACTCTATTAGGGCTCTCTCCAGGGGCCGGCCTACCCTCCCGGGAGGCGAGCCGTGGGGCGGCACCTGGGCCCCGGGAAGCAGCGGCACGCGGCCAAGCACCCCCTCGCGGGGCCCCCCCTCGTCCTGGCGAGCCTCGGTTCGCTCGGCACGCCAGGCCTGCCGGTCCACCTCGTCCAAGCGCTCGCCATGGCGCACCACGATGACCTGCTCGACTGCACGCGCGAGTGACCCCGGGTGAGGGTGACCTCTGGTGCGCAGCTTGAGGGGGGCGCCGCGGGGAGACCACGCAGCATCGCGCAAAACGCCCCTGCCGCACCGCGTTCGGCGATCGGGGGAACCCCCAGTGGGCCCGCACCACAGGTCACTCCGGCAAAGGGTCACTCTTGCGTGTCGTCGACCTGCACCGTCATCGCCGCTCCAGGAGGTTCACGTGCTCGCGAAGGGCTGGGCGCGCGAAGGCTCTTTGGGGCTGGCTGGCCTGTGCCCGAAAAGGCTGCGGCGGAGGGAGCGGCAGCAGAAGCAGAAGTAGCAGCGGGAGGAGGGGCAGGGGGGCTGTGGGTGAGCGTGAGCGTGAGGGCAAGAGTTGGGGGGGGGGAGGGAGGGGCGGGGGGGGGAAGGGGGAGGGGCAGAGGGGAGGAAGGAGGTGCGAGGAGATGGAGGAATGGTGGTGGTGGTGATGATGACGATGACGATGACGATGACGATGACGATGACGATGACGATGACGATGACGATGATGGTGATGATGATGATGATGATGATGATGATGATGATGATGATGATGATGATGATGATGATGATGATGATGATGCTGATGATGATGATGAGGAGGAGGAACATTAGATGGAAAGAAGGGGAACACATATATACATATATAGGCAAAACATGCGGAGGAGAAGGGGAGGAGCAGAAGGGGGATGACGAAACTGAGGACGAAAATGAGGGGTAGCAACAGCAAAGGCACGTGGAAGAGAATGATAACTATAATAATACGAAAGCTAAAAATAATGGCAATCAGACTAACAATACTAATAATGCGTGTTCAGGAGGAGCAGAGCAAAACCAGTAAGGGAGTTTGGGGGAAAAGGGATCTGGAGGAGGGGGGCACAACTGATGATGAGGGGGGGGATGGTCAGGGGGGTGGACGAGGAGGAGCAGCACGAGAAAGACCATAAGGAAGAGGAAGAGGGGACGAAGGGTGGGGTGGAGGAGGGACGATGAAGGAATGACAGGGCACGGGGGACGGGACGGGGAGGAGGGGTGCCGCAGGGCGCGGTTCAGAGCGGGCGGGCCTCACAGGGAACGCTCCTTCTGGCAACCGAAAGGGGGCGCCCAGCAGCCCAGGGGGGGGGGGCAGAGGAGCGAACGAGGGCGCCTCCCACCCACCCCAGCCTGCAGCCGAACGGCCAACGCTGGCTCCACCTCCTCCGCCTCCTCCACAGCCCACCTCCTCCACGTACCGTGAAGGTCTTGACCTAAGGAACCCTAAATAAGGAGCGAGGCCCCTTTTCTCCATAAGTTAACCTTCGATTTCCTGTCGAAAGCAGAAGGGGAGCCTGAGGCAAGCTGCGAAACACTTAAGGAGCGCGGAGCCCCTCCCCAACCAAAAGGGTTCCTTCTTCAGGGCCCCGACTGGATAGCCCTCCACCTGGTCAATCCTATTCCAACACCGCTTCCACCACCTTCGCCGCCTCCTCCTGCAGCTGAGCGGCTGGACCATGCTTCGGCGAAGTCCCCACCAACTGATCCTGCATAAGGGCGTCCTGGAGCATGGAATGGCCCTCCACCTCATCGTCCTTCAGACCTTCCTCCGCCCCCCTCTCTCCTCTCAATGACCTTCCTCCCCACTCTCTCCTCTTCCGTTTACCCCTCCTCCACCTCCTCCTCGAGGCGACTTGGCGAATGGGGCTCGAGCAGAGATGGCCATCAAACTCCTCCTCCTCCTCCACCTCCACATCCTCCGCCCCTCCTCCTCATCCGTCCCCCTCCCCCTCCTCATCCGTCCCCTTCCCCCTCCTCATCCTGCTTCGACTACTCATCCTCCTCCCCAGCCCCTCCCGCTTCCACACAAACAGACGCACACACTACCCCACATCTTCTCACACCACGTCGTTTGCCCTCCTGTGACCCTCTCTCTCTATCTCTCTCTCTCTCTCTCTCTCTCCCTCTCTCTCTCTATGTCTCCACCACCATGCTCCCTCGTTCCCTCTTTCTCGCCCCCTTTCTGTATCACCCCTCCCTAAATATATCCTTACCCTACCTCTATCCTCTCTCGAATATATATATATATATATATATATATATATAATATATATATATATATATATATGTGTGTGTGAACATGTGTAGACCAATAGTTACCACACATCTCCGAGATACTATAGCTTGGATGCGATGATTTGGTCTCGTCCGCGATCTGTTCGGCCATGTCGCTCTGGACATCCGTTCTGAAAAATCGGGCGCACACCTCACGCAGATCGCGACGTCACGGTCCAAGAACACAGTTTGTTTCAATACGGTGAGCAAATAACCTTCAAACCACAACGGAGTACAGTGGTGTTGTGCCAGATTATTCGGAAATTGCAGTTTCGCCTGATCCATCTTTCAGAAATCGAGCCCCTGCTCAACACGGTTCTTAGAAACATGCAGTTTCGCCTGAGGCATCCTCCCAACATCGAGCCCCGACGTACAACACACACGCGCGGATAGTACACGCAGAAAGCACACACAAACCACACCCAAAATGCACCACACACAACACACAGAGAACACATATAACACCTACACCACACGCATACATATAACACACAGAGAACACGCATACACACGCACACACAAGACGCACACACAGGCACACATCAGTCACAACACATCCAACACACAAACAACACGCACACACACAACGCACATGCACACAACATACCCAAATGACAAATAACGCGCATACCAAACATAACTCACACATAGCACACAAACTCACCCACACAGCCCACAACACGCGCACACAACACACAGCATACATTTCACACACACACGAATACATACCACACACACACGCATCATCATCATCATCATCATCATCACCATCATCATCATCATCATCATCATCATCATCATCATCATCATCATCATCATCATCATCAGCATCAGCATCATCATCATCATCATCATCATCATCATCATCATCATCATCATCATCATCCTGCACACGTGTTTGTATGAGCCTGGGCACGCACGTGCCACTTGTACATGAACTCCGTCTCTGTTCCCCTTGCCATAGTTTTTGTTACCCGGACCCGCCCCTCCAACAAAAACGACCCACCTGGATCCCTGGCCCCGCGGACCACCTGGACGCCCGTGCACAAGGACCACCGGGCCTCCCCAGCCTTCTGGATGACTCTGCTGGGCCTAGCCAACGGGCCCAAGGCGGTCAGGCGAGCGACCAGACGGCCTCGCGAGAGCTCCAAACATCGCCCCAAAACGCGACAGTGACTGCAGGAAGTCCAAGAAAGCTCCCCAAAGGCCAAACGGGGCCCCGGGGTGGCCCGAAGAGAGCCACATGACGGTCCAAGATGGCCCCAAGACGCGCCCCGAAGCACTCCAAATCGTGATGTGGCTGTTGAGGGAGGTGAGAGGAGGTGAGGAGGAGGAGGAGGAGGAGGAGGAGGAGGAGGAGGAGGAGGAGGAGGAGGAGGAGGCCTCCAGCGGTCCCTCATAAGCTAAACTTCTTGGGGCTAGAAGGGCTTCGTGCGGCCCCCAAGAGGATTTCGAAGGAGGAGCGTCCGCAAAAAGATGGGGGCGGCTGGGGAAGGGTTCGCAGAGTAAGGCGACAACTAGGAAGAGGAAACATGAAGGAAGGAAGGAGAAGGAGCTACGTGGTTCAACGACGGAGATGACAACTGCAACACAGAGTTGGCGCATGTTCTACTGATTTGCCTCGCCCATTCCGCCTGCAGGCCAGACTTGAATGACCAAGGTGGACAGCACGTAGTGCCAATGCAGTATTGCATACATACAGAACTTGCTAAACACCCCTCTCTCTCAATCTGTCCCACTCTCCCTCCCTCCTTCCCTCGGCGCTAGGCGAGCTGAGACCACGGGCGGCTCAAAATCGGCCCCAGGACCCCTCCTGGGGTCCAAACCCACAAGCTTGTCCGAGCTGCGTCCAGCCATGGAGACCAGGGGGGGCCCCCGACGGCCAACGGCTGGTGTCTCGACTCGCCCTCCCTCCCCGCCTCCCTCTCCACCGCGCACCAGGATGATCGGGGATGGACCTGGGCCAGGTAGGGCCCTGGCGCTCCCCAGCGCGACGCCGAAAATCGCGGGGGCCGCCCGATCCAGAACAACTCTTGCTTCAGGAGGGTCCTGAGCAGCATCTGCATGGGCAGGAATGGTGCCTCTGAGCTCGAATGGCATGCAATCCGGGGCAACCACGGCGCAGAAACGGGCGGCCCGCATCAGGAGTTACCCCTGGCCGACCCCTGCCCTGATCGCCCGGATTATGTCGGGCGTGTCCCCCTACAGGGGGACCTTCGACGAAAAATAAAACATACCCCAAAAATGCCCCCCAAAAGCAACAACATATTCAAAAAATAATCCCCTGACTATTTTTGTACTACTTGGGGGGTATGATCTTTCGTCGAAAATCCCCCTGTAGGGGGACAGGCCCGACCTAACGCTCGGGGCGCTGAGCCCACTCCCTCCCCCCGCGCAAGGGCACTGCCCACATCTGGCTTGGGCGTCCATGGATGGGGGGGCGATAGGATTGAGGGGGGGGAGAAACTTGCACCTCTTGTGCCCCTCGTGGGCCCCGGGCGAGCCCTTGAGGGCACACAAGGTGTACATGCCTTCGCCCCCCACACTTATCTACCGCACCCGCCCTCACCAAGACATGCGACGTCCGGATTTTGTTCGACGCGCGGCCCCCAGAAGTTCCCCACCCTTTCCCCGGGACTTGCTTCTCATCCTGAGTCGCTGTTTGACGGTCTGGAGGCCTGGCGAGGGCCTCCCGAGGCCGAAAATGGCCAAAAACCTCTCGCCCTGATTTCTTTGCGACGCGACCATGTCTAGATACGCAACTCCCCCCCTGCGCTCGGGCACTGCCCACCTCCGGCACCGCCGCCTCCGGCGCCGGCTCGGGGGCGGCTGGCCGCGCCTGCAGGGGGCGCCGGCGCGGCCGAGGACGCGCGCGCGCCTGCGCGCGCGCGCGCTC